TGACGGCATAGCCGTCCATAGCAGTGCCAGCAGGGGGAATGATAGGTACTAAAAGCAAACAGTAATATGACATTCAAAGTTAAAATGTCACATAGAACTAAAAAAATGAAGAAAAATCTTTTCTCCCATTTTTTATATTTCATTCATAATAAATTATGTTTCATACCTAAATATTTGATATTAAATGAAAGCCCTGTTTCCCCTGAATAAAATGATATATAATAAGTGTGGGTGCACATAATATGAAAGAGGCGAATTACTCCAGAACAGACTTATAGCGCAAATTCAGTGTTTTGTTTACAATTTGTTTTTATCACAACGTGTACAGTTGGCTCAGTCCTTAAGGAGTTAAAATGAATGGAATGGTCCTTTAATCTTCATTTCCTTAGGTCATGGCTCTATTATCTGTGCCGAGGGATTGAGGATGAGCCTGTTAAGCCAAGACAGTTACCGAAGTCTATTGGATGCAGCAAAACCTTTCCAGGGAAAACTGCGCTGTCAACGCGTGGCCAGGTGTGTTAAGACATGGCACATATACATGGAACAATGAATAGTTTTTGTGATGCTGTATGGGTAGCTGGGTCAGGTTGGGCTAGTAACGACAGACAGGTGTGTTATATAGCATCCCTAAACCTATTCATTGTTACATATATATCACACCCTGCCGTTACTAACCAAGTACAATGAACTGTGTGCCGATTTATATATAAATGGTTGTTAATTGGATGATATTGTCCTGCTCTTTTCAGGTCCAGTACTGGCTGCTACAACTGTCCACCGAGTTGGAAGAGCGATTACAAAAAGACAGAGATATGGTGAGCAGAGAGAATCACCGCACATACGGCTAGGGGTGAAATCTGAAATGAGTGTCATATGCTTATTTCAAGATCTACACTGAGCTCCAAACAACTTTATCTTAATGAAGTAGTTTTGGTGTATAAATAACTTTATTAACCACCAAATCGCCACTCAGTCTTAACTAACCTGACCGCCTTTTATTTAAACCCTATAACTTTATTAACCACCAAATAGCCAGTCAGTCTTAACTAACCTGACCGCCTTTTATTTAAACCCTATAACTTTATTAACCACCAAATAGCCAGTCAGTCTTAACCAACCTGACCGCCTTTTATTTAAACCCTATAACTTTATTAACCACCATATTGCCAGTCAGTCTTAACTAACCTGACCGCCTTTTATTTAAACCCTATAACTTTATTAACCACCATATTGTCAGTCAGTCTTAACTAACCTGACCGCCTTTTATTTAAACCCTATAACTTTATTAACCACCATATTGCCAGTCAGTCTTAACTAACCTGACCGCCTTTTATTTAAACCCTATAACTTTATTAACCACCATATTGCCAGTCACTCTTAACTAACCTGACAGCCTTTTATTTAAACCCTATAACTTTATTAACCACCAAATAGCCAGTCAGTCTTAACTAACCTGACCGCCTTTTATTTAAACCCTATAACTTTATTAACCACCAAATAGCCAGTCAGTCTTAACTAACCTGACCGCCTTTTATTTAAACCCTATAACTTTATTAACCACCAAATAGCCAGTCAGTCTTAACTAACCTGACCGCCTTTTATTTAAAGGACCACTCTAGGCACCCAGACCACTTCAGCTTAATTGGTCTGCGTGCCAGGTCCATCTAGGATTAATCCTTTCACAGAAACTGCTATGTTTACAAATGGGTTAATCCAGACCTGTTTTTTTGCTCTCCATAAGTTTTAAAGGGTAATCCAGACGTGGACCCCTTGCTCACGGTGTCTAGAGATATATCAGCTATGCCTCATTGATGATGCCTAACAAGGCTGAAACGATTGTCTGGGATTGCGGTGTCTCTCGTGCAGAGGGAGCTTGCTGGCATTTTGGATCTGGACTGCCCGTATGGGTGGGACCAGTCTGATATGTTTCAGAGATGTTCCTTCTGTAACGGCACAAGATGAGCTAAAGCCAGCTTGAGAACGGAGTGGGGACCCACCGAAGGGCAGACTATTTCAGCTGCTGCCCGTTCTCAGTATTCTCTTGCGACCTGTTTTTCACTTCCAAGACTTCCTTTATTGTTATTTATGGGGCGGTTGGGGAGGACAATTGGCCCCCCTCATTGCTATTTAGGGCCCCCACCCGCCGCTCAGGGACAAGAGGATCCAACCCCCCCATACTCATTTAAGGCCCCCACCCGCTGCTCAGGGGTGGGGACACGGGGTGGAGCACAATAGGTCCCTCCCCCTCATTGCTATTTAGAGCCCCCAACCGCTGCTCAGGGGTGGGGGCCGGTGGGAGGACAATAGGTCTTCCAGCCTTATCGTAGAGAGCTCCCTAATACCATGGGAATTAGCGAGTGATCTACTAAGCAGCTGCAAGTTTTATTCATTCGAATGAATTTCCGATCCGAACAAAGACCCGAATTGCGTCCTAACACAAATGGAGAAACTGTTCTCATTCTGTTAGGACGCAATTCGGCAGTTTCGCCGGCGTTCTGTCTAAATGACAGGACGTTTGGGAAAAGTGAAAAACAAGCATCTCGGGAACATGTTGGAAAGGTCACGATAATACAATTAAATAAAAGTGCTTCAGTCCACTCTGACAGGATTAAACTTGTGCTGCTGCTTTTTATACTGTCCCAGTTTCCCGCTCTTTTTCTGCTTGTGACCTTCAACCAATCCCAGGCCAGCTTCAGCCCCCAGAAACAGCTGTGTCATCAATTCTGCCCAGATACCTGTCTGACTGACCGACTGCCACAAGATGTAAAATTCACATTCACATCCCAGACAGATTAACTCCTTCATTGCCACTGTACATATAAACAGATTAACTCCTTCATTGCCACTGTACATATAAACAGATTAACTCCTTCATTGCCACTGTACATATAAACAGATTAACTCCTTCACTGCCACCATATAAACAGAGTAACTCCTTCACTGCCACCATATAAACAGAGTAACTCCTTCGCTGCCACTGTACATATAAACAGATTAACTCCTTCATTGCCACCGCACATATAAACAGATTAACTCCTTCACTGCCACCATATAAACGGATTAACTCCTTCATTGCCGCCGCACATATAAACAGATTAACTCCTTCATTGCCACCATACATATAAACAGAGTAACTCCTTCACTGTCACCGTACATATAAACAGATTAACTCCTTCACTGCCACCATACATATAAACAGAGTAACTCCTTCACTGCCACCATATAAACAGAGTAACTCCTTCACTGCCACCATATAAACAGATTAACTCCTTCACTGCCACCATATAAACAGAGTAACTCCTTCACTGCCACCATATAAACAGATTAACTCCTTCACTGCCACCGTATAAACAGAGTAACTCCTTCACTGCCACCATATAAACAGAGTAACTCCTTCACTGCCACCATATAAACAGAGTAACTTCTTCACTGCCACCATATAAACAGAGTAACTCCTTCACTGCCACCATACATATAAACAGATTAACTCCTTCATTGCCACCGTACATATAAACAGAGTAACTCCTTCACTGCCACCGTACATATAAACAGAGTAACTCCTTCACTGCCACCGTACATATAAACAGATTAACTCCTTCATTGCCACCGTACATATAAACAGATTAACTCCTTCATTGCCACCGTACATATAAACAGAGTAACTCCTTCATTGCCACCGTACATATAAACAGAGTAACTCCTTCACTGCCACCGTACATATAAACAGATTAACTCCTTCATTGCCACTGTACATATAAACAGAGTAACTCCTTCATTGCCACCGTACATATAAACAGATTAACTCCTTCATTGCCACCGTACATATAAACAGAGTAACTCCTTCATTGCCACCGTACATATAAACAGATTAACTCCTTCACTGCCACCATATAAACAGAGTAACTCCTTCACTGCCACCGTACATATAAACAGATTAACTCCTTCACTGCCTCCATATAAACAGAGTAACTCCTTCACTGCCACCGTACATATAAACAGATTAACTCCTTCACTGCCACCATATAAACAGAGTAACTCCTTCATTGCCACCGTACATATAAACAGAGTAACTCCTTCATTGCCACCGTACATATAAACAGATTAACTCCTTCACTGCCACCATATAAACAGATTAACTCCTTCACTGCCACCATATAAACAGATTAACTCCTTCACTGCCACCGTACATATAAACAGATTAACTCCTTCACTGCCACCGTACATATAAACAGATTAACTCCTTCACTGCCACCGTACATATAAACAGATTAACTCCTTCACTGCCACCGTACATATAAACAGATTAACTCCTTCACTGCCACCGTACATATAAACAGATTAACTCCTTCACTGCCACCGTGCATATAAACAGATTAACTCCTTCACTGCCACCGTACATATAAACAGATTAACTCCTTCACTGCCACCGTGCATATAAACAGATTAACTCCTTCACTGCCACCGTACATATAAACAGATTAACTCCTTCACTGCCACCGTACATATAAACAGATTAACTCCTTCACTGCCACCGTACATATAAACAGATTAACTCCTTCACTGCCACCGTACATATAAACAGATTAACTCCTTCACTGCCACCGTACATATAAACAGATTAACTCCTTCACTGCCACCGTACATATAAACAGATTAACTCCTTCACTGCCACCATATAAACAGAGTAACTCCTTCACTGCCACCATATAAACAGATTAACTCCTTCACTGCCACCATATAAACAGATTAACTCCTTCACTGCCACCGCACATATAAACAGATTAACTCCTTCACTGCCACCGCACATATAAACAGATTAACTCCTTCACTGCCACCGCACATATAAACAGATTAACTCCTTCACTGCCACCATATAAACAGATTAACTCCTTCATTGCCA